CTGGTTAGGCAGATTTTTTTTTTTTATGAAAAATGAAATATTGATATAATAAGCATTCTTATACCAGAAAACTATTACACTAAAAATTCTATATACATTCATTGTCATTCTTCCAGCTATGATCGAGTTGTAATCTTATATTTTATACATCATATTTAAAAATATCTTGAAACTAACGGAAACTACGTTGAACATTTTTTAGGAAGTAATCATTTAGAAGAGAAATAAGAAAATCTTCGATTAATTACATTCCTCCAAATTACTATAATCTTTTTATATCAGATCATTTGAAAGTCAATACATATCTGAAATGCATTTTTCTTTGGCTAGAATAATACATGAATAATTAGAAAAAAAATATGTCATTGCTATTTGAAAAAAGACGATGACCTTAAAAACTTGAAAAAAAAAAAATAATTTTGTTAAAAAGTGATGAATCATAATATTTGTCGTTCAAAATTAAATAATTGGCAATAAGATATTGGAACGCGTACAATTAAAAAATACATCCTGTATAATCAATCTAGTCTAACTAACCTAATATAATCTGAAAGCACTAATTAATATCAAAAAAATTATATAATTGATTGTAACTCTTATTTGTATGAAGGCATATCGCTCATTTGCTGCAATAACACAACTTAAAAATAACGATTTTAGGAAAAACAAGTTTGAATATTTCTCTTATTATAATTTTGTTACAGCATGAGATTAATACCATAAATTCTTAAAGTCTTAAAAAGTATAGGGTGAAAAGGAAAGTTTGTCCATGGCTATCATAAACGAATTCTACATTTTCGATTTGATGAAGATTCATGTAAAAAACCTACCTTGACCTTGAATTTCAATTTTGTTTGTTTGTTTGCATTGTATTCTATTTACCACAAACACAAAACTCTTCCAAGGAATCATAAGTCGCAACCTGACAGTTGTCTTGAAAAATGGCAAAACAGTTTTTTAATCATTTAACACTGTGAATGATTAACCATTCAACGGGTATCTGCTGAGAATCGCCTAAGCAGTTTTATCATTCTGGACATTCGTGTGTCGGTACGTTATTTAATTATTTACTAATACTGCCATATCTCATCATTCCATTTATCATGAAAGCCATACAGAAGTAATTTTTATCAACTGAAATATTACGTTTCAAACGTAAATGAAACGTAAAAATATTTAAAATTTGCTACAGTTGACACAAAGTGGACCATAATCAAATGATAAAACTATCTCGAAATATAAACATTACACGTTTGCAACGTAAAATGGCTGTTAATAATGGCATGCGTCCGCAGTGTATTTAAAACGATAAATGATTAAAATATTTTTTTGCCATTTTTCAGGGGAACCATTAGGTTGCGACCTATGGATCTTCGGAAAAGATTCATCTTCGTAGTGAGTAGAATATAATGTAACCAAAAAGAATTTTGACCTTGAAATTCAAAGTCTATTTTGCGGCAGGTTCTTAGGTAT